ACATTTTTATAAGCTTCTAGTGCCTTGCAGATATACTTGAATTTTGTAAGTATTTCTTATGGTAGATCATGTTGAGATTGCATCGCTGCTCGGGAAACACGAAATCAAAAGGACGGCAAACAAGCGCAAATCTGCCAGCAATAACAACAAATTGGCGAAAAATGAGTGGCGGTGAAATTAAGTTATAACGAAAATGCAAACAATGACATAAATCTTTGAGCAAAAATGCTGTTACATGCACAAGTGTCAGTGTCAAGGCATATATATACATATACATATGTATGTAGTGTAATATATTCATAAGTGGTTGCAGTAAGATTACGAAAACGAATTATGATGGTAGTGAATCGCAGATGTGTATTCAGATGGCTCTCTATGAGGGAAGGAAAAAAACCAGAAGAAGATTGTCTTTATCCAACTACCGGATGTCCTACAGAAAAGAAAAACGGTCATCACTGCAGTACAGGAAATGCTCTTCAACGAGCCGAAACTGTAAGAAATGTGCAGCGATTAGCCGGCGACTATGACCAATTTCCTTGTGGGCAAAGAAGGCATGCCTGATATAGTTTGCCCTCCTAAACAGGGTTAGATTAGACTGTAGTTTAAAATTGCAGCAACGGGATGTCTAATAATGCCGCCTGAACACTTCCTACAGAGCTTAGCATCCTCCCCGTAATTGTGTGCTTATCAACCAATCCTTATCCGGCTTCAATCACAGAAAATACCTGTACAGGCAACTGGAAGCGCGTAATTCTGGTCCAATTAAAGTTGGCACACTTTGCCCGACTAAAATCCTACTTATCCAAACTCGACACGAGCATGATATGTCCGGCTTGGGAAGGCATCCCAGACGACACAAACAGCTCTACATTTGCTCTAATAACTAAACTAACTCATCTAACACTACTTTGCTTTTAATCCGACCTCATGGAAACCGCACATTTCCTGGCCTACCGTTACACGACAACAATTGATGGACTAGCGAATTTAGGCTAGGGATTAATAGTGTCACTGCAAAAACTACGTTGCATATTTGGCTCTGACCTTTTAAATGTAGCTTCCTCTCGACAGAGTACGATGTTAGATCGGTGGAGTGGAGTGAAATACTAGCGACGTATGTAACTTGAAAACGAAGAAAAAAATATGCTGGCTGACAGAGACCCGACCCAAAATCTCTATAAAAATGAATTGCATAGCAACAACCACGTTTCAAGACTAGCATTGGTTTTGGCAAATACAGTATAGGAGAATAGGAATCTGGTAAAAAATTTGAGACATCGATAGGCGAAGCAACCCAGATCAAGCTGGAAAGAACCCAAAATTATTGCCAGAAAGAGAACAAGATGACGCTTAGTAGTAGTAGATGTTCTATGTCCCGCTTGGGGCTAAAGGAAATGAAGAAGAAGAATTGACACATGAATGGGAAACTTCTCAACGTTTTTGAATGGCAAGACTGGTGGCGCGTGTGTTGAAGAGGAACCTAGGAACATCCCCTACTCGACTTAGAGGAAGAGATAACTAAAATAATGCATTTAAAAAAGTACAAGTCCTCCGGAGCCGATGGAATACCAGCTAAGCTGTTCAAAGTCGGCAGTTGGCCGGGAATATATGCACATCTTACATGGCCCAAAAAGGATAAAACTTTTAAATTATGCGTACTTATATAACTATCGTCGACAGGACCATAAACAACCCTGCAAACACTGAATCTCTACATGAACCACTGATTGTACCTTACTACTTAGTGTGGCTTCAGTCCCGGCGAATCCACCATTTATCAGATTTTCACAGAGCGTTAAATACTGGAAACCCCCTCAAATGAACACATCAGCATACTCCGCCTCTTCAGTGACTTAATAAAGAGCCGCTTTGACGGTAACTTCCTAAGCTTTCAAGTCGACAGGTGCCACCATTCGTCCTCATTTTCTCCATTTTCAGCATACTTTCTCAGATATATGTTGTTCCATGGCAAGCACCTGGGCTTGAAACACTGGGCGATTAGAATACCAGGAAGGGGATTCTATAACCAGTTAGCGACAAGTTTCGGCTCGCTATCGCACTTGTTGACGTAAAAATATTCATTTCATAATGAAATTAATTTTTTCGTTATTCTGATTGTACGTTAGAGTGGAGCGGAAATAAAAAATTTGCATTTCAAAGTTCTAATAGCGGCAGATCATTGCCTTTGGACGTCAATAGAATACCTATTTTTAACCGACTTCCAAAAAAGGAGGAGGTTATCAGTTCGTCGGAATATTTTTTTTTTTTTTATGTATGTTACCGCATAACTTTGGACCACGTCAACCGATTTATTCTTATTGCATCGGAAAGGTAGTGTCTCAGAGGAGGTCCCATACTAATCTGGTTGAGATCCGATGAGTGGATCATGAGATATATATATATATATTTTTTTTTTATATGGGAGTTGAAGTCGTTTTTTTTGCTTAAAATTATTTTAAATCGGTTTATACTTTCTGCAATCTTTGAGATTTTTATAAATTCTAAACAAATAACTTACCAAAATCATTTTTAAAAAAATTTTAGGTATGTGAAAGTTTGCAGAAGCTAAGACTTAACCTCAATTTTTTAAATTTTTTTTTGTTGAAGGAGTTGTTCCATATGAAAGCATTTGTCTAATATACATACTTTGGTGAAAAATGCGTACCATCATCCACAACAAATTTAGGTATTTTATAACGACTTTAAACTTACTAAATATTAAATTAAATTAGGGTTATTCTATTGTCGTTCAATGACAACGATCCCCCGCTATTAGAGTTTCGAAACGCAAACATTTTTTTCCGCACTACCCTATTGTACATAGTTTAAATCAAGGAGGTTATAAAAGAGGGCATGAGTACAGATACCTCCATATTTTCAAGACAATGCAAAAAATTACTTTCAGGTATTTCAATCATATAGATTGGGACTTGCGACAGCATTTCGCACAACTAGAAGTATTTTAAATTTATTTTCGTTTAAAT